ATACTCTGAAAACGTAAAGAACACTGAATTCATGGAAATCTAACAGAACTACTAAACCTAACATTTTTTATAGAATGGAAAAGTAAAAGTCAAACTGTTATTTTTGACACATAAAAAAAAACGTTTTTAACTGTTTTCCCAAAAACGAGGCAAAAAAACGGGTAAGAAGTTTAGCGATTCTCAAAATATGCAAGAAAATTATTTCAGGGAAAGAGTATGTTATAAGACTATAAATCGTTCATAGTAGATTGGCAAAAAACATACCTCAAACAAGACAATTTTAAGGACTGCAAGGCGAACTCGAAAGATGTTTAAAAAAACAGTTTCTGTGAATACTCATTTATAGAACTAAAAGTCGTTTTCAGCAGTTTGATAAAACCTAAGCTCTGCGAAAACTAGTTTATAACACTATAAATTAATATAAATCTATTTTTAATTTAATTATAAAACCCTTGTCAAAAAATATATATTATGTAAAATAATAATTCAAACAACTTATGCTTGGGAGACATCTTCAATTTTTTGGCCAACCACGATTTGAAAAAAATAAAAATAAAAAAATATTTTAATAAAAAAACTAAAAAATAATATATTCGTCCATGTATGAGAGAAGATATTCAAACAAACATATTCGTAAACAAGAGAATATGTGTGCGTGTTTGGGAAACCTTCGAATAGGTTCGTCGTGCTACATACATTATTGAACTATAAATATGATTTTTTTAAAATAAACAAAAAATTGGGGTATTTCAGTTCAGGAACAAATGGTGTTTTGCAAGGTAGTGATTTTTTGTAAGAACACTTGCTTCTCTCTATATCACTTCCAGTGGTTCTGAAATTTTATTTTTTTATTCTTTTTTTTTCGGTGAATTTACTTCACAAGTTCACATAGAATTTTGTTCATGGAGGAGGTATGAAAAATGTACTATCAGAATCTTTAAAAATTTCCGTGCAAACCTAATAATGTTTTTTTTTAGGTTTTTAAGAATCCTATGTTAAAGGCCTATTAACGTTGTCACGTTGATTCTTCATCAGTGGTAAATAAATAATCTCAGTCCTCCCTTCCGAGACCGCCAAGATGCAACCAAGCTAGTCTCAACAAGCTTCATTACTAGTTCTCTCAAGTACCAAATTGCTATCATGACCAGGGTTACCGGCGTTCAGGACGGGCCGAATGCCCGAACCCGAACGCCCGAACGTATGGGACCCCTTCGGAAGGCGTTCGGCCATTCGGGCCGAACGCGGACCAAAAAAAAAAAAAAAAAAAAAAGTTTTCAAAAAATTCCGAAACAAAATATGTTATGGAGAAAAATGAACTAAAGACCATTTGCCTGGGCACTGTATCTAGATTCCTTACCAAATTTGAATTAAAAATCAAATACAGAAAATAAGCACTATGATAAAATTTATCATAAAAATAAGAAAAAAAGAAAAAAAAATTAAAATGAGTGAGTGTACCAATACCTTTTTGACAACGCCATCTTTGCCGATTTTTAATTATTTTTTGGCATTGACAAATGCCCTGAAAATTACAGATATGTAGTTTACATAATCAATAACTCATTAATGTTTTTTTAAAAAATAATAAAATATTTTAGACCCCGAAATAAAGTGAAAAAAAAAACAAAATAGTGAGTGGGCGAGCACGTTTTGACACCCCCATCTTTGACGGTTTTTCATGTTTTTTTGGCTTAGCATAATGATTCAAACTTTATACGCGTGTAGGTTACATCATAGAGAACTCACCAAAAACAATTCAGAAAAAACAACTTATTTTTAGGCCCCGAAACGTTTTTTGGCGGAGGCCGAACCTGGAGGTGTTCGGCCCCCGAATGGGACCCCGAACGTCCGAACGTTCGGGGGCCAGCCCCGGGGCCCTCGAACGTTCGGTCAGGTAACCGTGATCATGACAGTGATTGAAGGACTTCATCAGGGCAACGCCCTTTTCGGGGGAGCCACAATCCTCCTTCTTGCATGTCACGAACACGGACATATCGTCAACAAGTCGAAAACCTTGAAACAAGTGTTGGTCAACACCAAGACTATTAAAAAAAAAAAAGTAGGCACAAAGCAAACATGCTAATGCTGGGCTTGATGATTTGCCCATAGGAATCCCCACTTTTGGTCACAACAAACGACAAGAAGCAGAAATAAAGGTATTGTCTTGCTCAAAGGAAACAAACTTCTCAATCACTTCAAAGGAGAGACTCCTTCATCCTCTTTATGCCTTCTCTTTCAACAGTTTAGCCTCTTTCCCCTGCATTCTCACAGCAACCCTGATGACCCCTTTATCTTGCCAAAAATCGATGACCCATCGTAACGCCCGAAGTATAGACGGATGGGGCAAGTTGGAAAACATTTTTTTAACAACGAACGAAGCCCCTACGAGTTCCTCATCCTCCTGCAAACCTTCGTTGATATTCTTCATTGCATCAAGTAACTCGTCAGCGCTGCGTAGGTTCAGATTTGAGGACTTATTCAAATTCCACCGCAATGAGTTGACGACTCAAGAGACATACTTCCCCCCAACAGTAGATGGCTCAGGAAAAGATGAACAAATGAGTCTCAATCTCTCTACGTCTTTATGTTTCGGCAAGCAGTACGACCTCCCGAGAGAGCCCTTCTTTTTTCATCTACCTACATTATTCAGACCCAATCGCACATGCTTTTCCTCATAATTCTTCAAAATGAAAGTCTTCAATTCCTCCCGAAGCTCGAAAGATGGATTACCAAAGAAAAGCGTCTGCATACCCGATTTATAAAGAAGTGGACAACAAACCAGACGATCACCCATATTGTGGTTGATGGGGTAACAGACCAGCCCTTCAAACATGGAACGGAAGGGAGCTAAGTCATACATACCAACACAGGGAAAAAAATAATTATCAAGATCTTCACGCAACAAACAATCATCCAACAACTCATCAGTAACCCTCACAGGATCAATAGCAGGCAGGGAAGGATGAGACGAAAAGGCTGTCAAGATTTGCGAACAGAGAACGGGTCAATCGATTGACCTTAGATGGTCGTAGCACGTTCTTCGAGTTCCACATCCACAACGGGACAACCCCTGAACCATTAAGTGGAAACGATATGTGCCCATTCACACGCGGAAGGTTCAGATCATAGTGAACACATATACACCTAACAACACTCATCCTGGCATAACTCCTAAATCTATGAATTTCATCAGCAATACTATGATTGCGGAACAAATCAATCATCAAGCGTTTGGCCAACATACCCTTCCATGTCTAGTCAATAGCAAGATCAGAAATGATCCTTCCACACGGGCTTCGTACCTTGGCTTTACACACACATTCATCATAAACGAGACGAACAACAAGTCATTTTCTAACATGCACACCGAATCGGAGGAGAATACAATTGGACAGTATGCATCTTAGCCGGAACCTCGACCGTTTCTCGGAGAAGGTTTGCACCGCGGTATATGCACACACCAACTTAGTGAAATCCCACATCCGCAGCGCTAGTCGACTCCTAGGATTGCTCATTAATTCCGCAAGAGGGGCTTTTAAGGCCAAGGATCAACATTAAAAAGGTACAATTGACTCAAAAATCAAGGTTACCCGTCCTTTTATCCACCGTCTCGCACGTCGCAGCTCACCTTTGCCAAACGCACAGTCAACCAAACATCCTCCATACAATTTTCTCACAACTTTTCATTTGTCAACCAAGAAAGTCACCACAAGCACACCTAATAGCCAATCGATGAACAAAACATAGTCCCCATTCTTCCAAAATCTTAAGGAGAATAACAAATGACAAACCAATGCTAGAATGAAAGGTGACAACAAAACTAGACAGAGATCGGATTCGCGAGGGACCAACTTCATTGTTTAACATTTTTTTCCTCAATCTCTCTCTCAAACCAACTCCCCGCCTCTTTCTCCGTTTGCACTTATCTCTAATATTCAAGGAATGACACAACAATCTAGTAATTAAAAAAAAAAAAAAAAAACTTCTTAGTCTCCAGAAGATTGTCTGCAAAGCATAGACACAATGTAATAACAACATAGGTGTGAGCACCACACCTTTTAAACTATTGATACAATCGCTCATTCCTTCAACCTTCCTCGATTACCCTCAACGTATAAGCACGGTAAACGTGCTCCCTCCATCGAGAGTGTAGATCACGCTCAGTGCTGCTAATGTACATGTGTCCTGACCACGGAGACAACAAGGCATAAACAACTGAATCTTTCCATAGCCTGGCCTCGCGATACACAAGAGGAAGATTCGAAAAGAAGGAAATAACCTTACTACCCCACGGTACATCGCCATCTAGGATCAAATTGGACACAGTAGAGGTGAGAAGACAGTTCAACTCCTTACATCTCAGAAAGTCAGCAGAGCGAGATCGAAACTTACAACACAGTCGTACAATTTCGCAAAGGGAAGTCGCGTTTGGGCGTGACCCTAAGAGGTAGCAGCGTCACGCCCGTCACTTGGTTTGGATTCATCCTCCTTGTCGTCTGAAACCTGAACAGTCGAAGTTCCCTTACAAATGTCTTCTTCTTCGTCATTACCATCAAAGGCTCTCACAGCCCACTTCTGCGCAGATGCTTCCTTCGTAGGATCTAGCGTTGTATAGGCAACCCCATCTTTTTCGCAAATTGCTTTCACCTCGTCTTTGTTTCTTCTTCCGAAGATCCTTGCGTGCTGCCCGCACAAACGCCTCATGGTTAGTGGTCTCAACCTTCGTATTAACCTTAGCCTTTCCCTTGTCCCGTTTAGTCGACGGACAACTTGAAGCCACCTCATCTAACCGAGCTCACAAGTTGGTAGCAAGTCCCTTCCTTTCCATCTTTAGTTTCTCCATCTCAATCTTGAGGCGCTCAACTTCAGCCTCCGACAGTTTCCTCGCGTCAACCTCCTTCAGCAGCATGTCTTTCAATAAGTCAACCTCAACTTGATGTCGCTCCACAATCCCTTTCAGTTGCACATTTTCTCGGCTCATCGGTGTAGGAGCTGGAGTTGTCCGCAACCTCCCCTTGGCCCGAGTGGTCGGACTCAGAGATTCCCCAATAGCCATGCTTCCTCTTTTGTTCCCAGGCCGAAGCGCCTCCATTTTCCATGCCTCTGGATCCGCTTTGGCAGCCTCACATTGCCGTTGCAACGCGTGCATAACCTCCTCCAAACTTGCCAATCGTTTATCAGTAGCCGCCTTCATCTCTGCTTGTTCTCGTCTAGGCCTAACAACCTCATCGTTCTCGACCGCCGGTTTTGTAGAAGTGGGCTCTGCCCCTGTGAGTCGACAACATAAAGGATGCCCTTGTGATTTCAAAGTTGGGGATGCTGAAAGGATGGCAGAGTCTATAGCCAGGCGACTGATCCCAGGTTGTTGTAGAGGCTGGATTCTAGACATACGAGAGTCACCTTAGGCACTCGGCCATGTGGTAGACCCCCCAATCCTATAGGACTCCCTCCCAAGGCGGTTTTTTTTCTTTTTCTTTGATATCACCATTGAACTGACCGGCCCTATGTAGTATTCACTCTTTTTTATTTTTATTTTATTTTTTATATATTTTTATCGAAACTCATTTCTTCATTGCGGCTTCGAACTCAGGTCTATTATCTGAACAGTTCAGGGGCAGGGGGGTACCAACCCTGAGCTACCGTAGGTAAGCCTGTTGGTTTGTGCTGGGCATCTTTGGCAAGCCCCGGCGTCGCGGCCTGGGCCGTGGAACTGGTGGTTTTTTACTTCAGCCATTTCGACGAACCTACCTACAACTCCCTTTTTTTTTTTTTTTTTTTCACGTACAACTCTTTGGGTCTCACTCCCGTTCTCGGCAAATATGCAAAAGAGAATGAATCGTATGCTAGAATACGGAAAGATTCGCCGGGTTATTTGTTGTCTTTTGTGCATCTGGTGAGCAGTGGAGGGAGCCCCTCTGGTCGGTAGAATCAAGAATGGCAGAGTAGAGCGAGACCCATCCTTGTTTCTTTTGGGCCCTGGCCTATTCCAGTGCCTGCCGCTTGTAATCGCCTCATTTGCTTCTCTACGTCTTTGGGGTGGACCGCGCACCTGCATGCTTGCTTCTTCCCCCCCCCCCTCCGCCCCCCTCTCGCCCCGAACTCACTCTCTCTTCCCCCCTTCTCTCGACGCCCTGTGCTTGAAGGCCCTTGGTGGGCGCTGTGGACAAAGAACTCGACTTCGACTTCGACGTGGACGACGCGAGACATAGGTTAGTCGACCTCCTCCTCCTCCTCCTCCTCCTCCTCCTCCCTCCCTCGGCCCCACCTGCTTCTCCCTTTGCCCGACCTTCTCCCTCCCTCTACGCGATGTCCTCCTTCCCTCCTCCGCCCTACCACCTCCTCCCTTCCTTAGCCCGATCACCTTCTTCCTTCCTTAGCCCTCCTTCCTCCCTCCCTCCGCGCGACGTCTTCCTCCCTTCCTCTGCCTGACCTCCGGCTGGCATCCTCCTCCCTACCTCCGCCTCGTCTCCTCCTCCCTGCACCTGACTAACTCCTCCCTCCCTCCCTCCCTCCCTCCC